AAAAATTTCAACCCTTTGGTTTCAGGCCAGGGGGGGGTTTTTCCAGTTTTCCGGGCCTTGATGTTTCCAAAAAACCAAAAAAGACAAAGGCCAGGAAGGGATGGAAGACCCCAAGGGGGTTATTGGGGGGTTTTCTAAAACAAACAGAGTTAAAAAAAGGGGAAATGGGAAAAGGAAAAAAAAGGCCCCCACCCGGGCCCGGGTTGTGGGTATGAACGAGACTTACACTGAAGTGGCACATTTAGTTGTAAATGCAAATTGGCATGCACGTCATTGGTCCACAACCCTGGTCCTGAACTGCACCTGATTAAGCACTGAACAAACAGTGAATAAGTCTGACATTGTTCAAGTAGTATGAAGGGGATCATGGCCATGAATGAGTGAGACAGAAGATATTCACCAGTTAAACATTGGCTAGGGACATTAGAGTCTCAATTAGTTGTTCATACATTACTTTTTTTGTAATTGGGCATAGGTGAGTGTCTAAAAGCACTGTAAGTTAAAACATCAGATTCATTTGTAGACGGTCAACACTCAAAAAAGAGATTTAAAAATTATTTTATGCTATTTTATTAATTTAGAGGCAACGAGCTAAAACAAACAACGTTGAGTACTTACAACAGTAGAAGCTCAGCTACAATACAGTATAAAACTGGTCCTACTCTGTATAGAGTTATGGTGTAAAGAAGATGTCAAGTGGCATGTAAATGTCAGTCTTCCATCTTCCTTGGGCAACACTCAATTTCCCAATAAGGGCAGAGGAATGAGACCAACAACTGTTTAAAACCATCTAGTAAAACCAGCCAATAGGAGACCGGCACGAGAGGCTGTGGTGTATGATATTAAACTGACACGTGTGCTCTAGTAGAGTAGCATTAGTCTATGCAAATCAGTGGAGGACGCTGAGGGGAGAACAGCTCATAATAATGAACGGAACAAAACCAATGGAATGGCATCAGACACCTGGAAACCATGTGTTTGGTGCATTTGATACCATTCCACTAATTCCGCTCCAGTCATTGCCACGAGTCCATTCTCGCCAATTAAGGGTGCCACCAACCTCCTGTGATGCAAATGGTAAAAGACAGGAGAAAACACAGCCATAAGAGCCAGAGCATATTTTGGGATCAATAAAGCATCGCTGAGCATGATTAAAACAGTTTAATGGGATTCAAAGACCATGGCAGACAACAATTATTATATTATTCATTCAGCATTTCATGCATAAAACAGACCGACTATTTTCAGTTACCTTTCTCTCTACATCAGTGGTCACCACCTCTAGTCCTGGAGAGCTACAGATGCAGGCTATTGTTCCAGTCCAGCAATAAAAACACTACATTCAGCGAATCATCAACTTATCATCAAGGACTTTAAAGCCACAGTCTTCTTTAAAAATGTATACCATCTATGATTGAATAGGCTACCAACAACAATGTAAACAGCAGAGCAAATGCATGCTATGAGATTTCGCTTTAAACTAGCACTTCAAATCTAAATATATTGGTTGCGTACACAGATTTGTAGATGTAATCGCAGGTGCAGTGAAATGCTTGTGTTTCTAGCTCCAACAGTGCAGTAATAATATCTAGAAAACAATATGCACATAATCCAAAGTAAAAAGATTGAAATTAAGAAATATCAGAATGAGCACTTGATTTCCATACTACTGTATGTCTGTGGTGCTAAAGGAATGACACTCCATTACATGTTTTAAACATGATTCGAAGCACTAAATAAGTCTCACATTACATAACAACAACTACAATTGTAGAAATAGGTCCTTCATTTTTTGGGGGTTATACATTAAGGTATTTATAACATGTTATATTATTCACATTTAAGGGGTATATTTAAGTAGGAGAATGACTGGACATCTTGCAGACAGTGGCTTTACCTAGTTGTATGAGTTATGTTAGTGCTGGCCTGTAGCAATAGCCTAAAACCTCATGCTATAATGAACATTATCTCAAGGCAGCATTTACATTATCTCAAGGCAGCATTTACATTATCTCAAGGCAGCATTGTTAGAGGCACTATTGAACACATGACAGTTGTGATGGTGTGGGTGTCACGGTTTCGGCCGAGGCTGCTCCTCCTCCTTGTTCGGGCAGGCTTCGGCGGTCGTCGTCTCCGGAGTACTAGCTGCCACCGTTCTATGTTTCATGTTTGTTTGGTTTTGTCTGTTTGTAACACCTGTCCCTTGTTAGTGTTTGATTGTGTTCCCTATTTAGTTTCGTTTATTTGGGTCAGGTGTTATGTGTGATTGTTATTGTCAGCTATTGCCTCCGAGGAGTTTTCTCTCTCGTTTGTTGTTATTTCGTGAGTTTGCACT